AGGAAGTCGTGTTGCATCGATCAAAAGAAAAGAATATTCGTGTAATGCTAACAGAAGATGCTTTGATACCGGAACACAGCGAAATGATATTAAAGGCTTTCTTGGATTGTAAATCAGAAGATGGAAGTATAATGCTTCTGGAGCCGAGAATTAATGACAAAGAAGTCGGTCGAAGAGTTGTAGTAGGGAAGACTTTAATACGTGTCGGAAAAGAAGTGCCTGTAAGAGTATTGAATGTTAATGGTTACTCTGTAAACCTAAAGAAAGGAATCGTTTTAGGAAACTGTTCTTCGGTTTCCTCGATTATTAGAGGCATTCGTGAGTCTGCAGTCCCGGCCAAGAAAGTTAGCAATGAATTGACGAATCTTCTGTCGACTTCTTCAAAGGATTTGAAACCCAATGAAAGGATAAAGCTGAGAGAGCTGATTCACAATTATCAGGATGTCTTTGACGACGGACAAGGAAAGAAGGGTAGGACAAGAATTGTCCAGCATAAAATTAACTCCGGTGATGCACAGCCCATTCGACAGTCGGCAAGAAGGCTACCACTTGCCAAGCGAGAGGAAGCTGATAAAATTGTGCAAGAAATGGAGAAGAAAGGGGTGATCGAACCATCTAACAGCCCATGGTCTTCCCCAGTGGTGTTGGTTAAGAAAAAGGATGGATCAACTCGATTTTGCGTCGATTTTCGTCAGCTGAACAACGTGACGAAGAAGGACAGCTACCCTCTGCCTAGGATCGATGACACCCTGGACACATTGGCTGGAACACAGATATTTTCAACTCTGGATTTAAAAAGCGGTTACTGGCAGGTTGAAATGGCACCAAAAGATAGAGAAAAGACGGCGTTTACCGTGGGTGCTGGACTGTGGCAGTTTACTGTCATGCCGTTTGGACTATGTAATGCCCCTGCAACTTTTGAAAGGCTCATGGAAATGGTTTTGAAGGGACTATCCTGGAAGACATGCTTGGTGTACCTTGATGACATCATTGTGGTTGGGAAATCATTTAAGGACCATATGAGGAACCTGAAGGAAGTCTTTCAGCGCTTAAGAAGTTCTGGTCTGAAGCTAAGCCCAAAGAAATGTCACTTGTTCCAGAGGGAAGTGCAGTATCTGGGCCATGTTGTTTCAAGTCAAGGAGTGGCAGTGGACAAACAGAAGGTGAAGACGGTGCGGGAATGGCCAATACCGAAGAATAAACATGACTTAAGAAGCTTTCTTGGATTATGCACCTACTACCGTCGGTACGTACCAGGATTCGCAAAGGTTGCTAAGCCTTTGACACGTTTAACAGAGAGAGAAAGACGATTCCAATGGGACGACGAATGCCAAGAAGCCTTTAAGAACCTGAAAAACGCGTTGACCAGCTCACCAGTCCTGAGTTATCCACTTCCGGATGGTGAATTTATTTTGGACACGGACGCCAGCAATGTGGGCCTGGGAGCTGTTTTGTCGCAGATTCAAGAAGGAAAAGAGAAAGTTATTGGATACTTCAGTAAAACTCTATCGAAACCAGAGCAAAATTACTGTGTTACTCGACGCGAGCTGTTGGCAGTGGTAAAAGCAGTCGAACACTTTTACAAGTACCTGTAGGGAAGAAAATTCTTGCTAAGAACGGATCATGCTGCCCTTAAATGGCTTTTGCAATTCAAGAATCCTAAAGGGCAGGTAGCAAGATGGATTGAAAGACTACAGGAGTTCGACTTTGACACAGAACATCGGGCTGGGACCATCCATAGAAATGCTGACGCCTTGTCGAGAAGACCGTGCCCGGAAGACTGTAAAAATTGTCTTAGGGCCGAAGAAAAGGATGTGTTTGTTCGCAGGACTACAATCGTGGATGATCATTGGCAATCCGCTGAGGTTCAACAAGACCAAGAAAGGGACCCGGATTTGAAGCTTATCATCGATTGGAAGAATAAAGACCGTAAACCAACGTGGCAGGAAGTCGCCCAATATTCGCCGAATGTAAAATCCTACTGGGCCCAATGGAATTCCATCATCTTAAGTGACGGGCTTCTAAAGCGCGTTCTGGAGATGCCAGAAGGGGGAGAAGACCGGAAGCAGATAATAATCACCAGAAACAGTATACCAGAAGTGCTGCAGCAAATCCATGATGGAACTACTGGAGGACATCTTGGGGTGACCAGGACGCTCGGAAGACTTAGGGAACGGTTTTATTGGGTCAACAGCCAACGAGATGTAAAAGAATGGTGCAAGAAGTGCGTCGTTTGCGCGGCAAGCAATGGACCCCAGAAGCGCCCAAAAGCCCCAATGCGACAGTACAATGTGGGCAGCCCATTTGAGAGAATTGCAATCGACGTGGCGGGTCCATTTCCGGAAACAGAATCTGGAAATAAATACATCATCGTTGTAATGGACTACTTCAGCAAGTGGGCGGAAGCGTACACCTTGCCAAACCAGGAAGCTGCCACAGTGGCCGATGCCCTTATTAAGGAGTGGATTTGTCGTTTTGGAGTGCCAATGGAGATGCATTCAGACCAAGGCAGGAACTTTGAATCTATACTGTTCCAGAATGTCTGTAAGATTCTTAACATTCGGAAGACGAGGACGACTGCATTACATCCGCAGTCTGATGGAATGGTAGAACGAATGAATCGAACGATAAACCGGTACCTGTCCAAGGTACCGCTTCCTCCATTTGTTCCTGTTGGCGTACCGTTCTTCTATCCACGATACAACCGGCCAGACACCCGCTAGCATTGTTATGGGACGTGAACCAGGGGAAGAATTTACGTAGGAAAATGAGCGTTATACACAGCCGAGTTCGTTTAAACATCCAGAGTGCCAGTGATAGAATGAAAGAGGCATATGACAACAAGGCGGAAAATGGAGGATTTCAACCTGGAGACCTAGTTTGGTTATACAACCCTCAACGCCGTCGTGGTTATTCACCGAAGCTGCAGACTTCTTGGGAGGGACCTTACGAAGTCATGGATCGAATAAATTACATCATCTACAGGATCAGGAAACAACCAAGAGGAAAGCCGAAAGTGATCCATTTTAACCGATTGGCTCCTTACGCTGGAAACAATGATCAAATAGACGATGCTAGAGTAAGGAGGGTTAATCCGCCGGAAGACGAGTTGCCTTTTGAAGATTTCATGTATTTATATTCGAGCGGTAAAAAAGCTCGGTATGGTGTCACTCGAGAAGAACAAAAAGATCTGTTCACGGTTTCGGCCCATTACTCCTTGGCTCACTGTGTTGCGGAAGACCTTAGGATGTCCAGAGGAATAGCGGTTGTCTTTAGAAACAAGTTTGGACGGGTTGATGAGCTACGGAGGCAGAATCCCAAAGTTGGAGAGGTGCTTGAAATTGTGGATAATGAGCAGATAGGCAATAGAAGTATCTTCTATCTGGTAACGAAGCAGCTCTCCCATCAGAAGCCAAACTACCGTGACGTATGGAATGCCTTAAATAAATTGAGGGATGCCCTTTTATCCAAGGACATCATGAACCTGGCGATACCGAAGATTGCTTGTGGACTTGACGGTTTAGACTGGAGAATAATTAGAAGTATGGTGGAAGTTATCTTCAGATTTAGTGGCATACACATTCTTGTCTGTTGCCACAACCCTAAAAGAACAACCGGAAGAAAGACCGTAGACTGCTACTTCTATAGGACGTCACACTGCAAGTTTGGATCTCTATGCAAATATCGCCATGGAGCTGAGGACCATTTTCGGGACGAAAATGTTTTAAGACGGGGGCAATGTAGCGAGTACCGCTCTGGATATCGGAGTGATGACTCATCGCCGATGAGTCATCGCCGGTGACTCATCGCCGGTGACTCAGCGCTCGAATAATCGAGAGTGTGGGGCTCGCTAGAATGTTCCAGAAGACGTAGGCGCTGAATATATAAGGAACGACGCATCATGGAGAGTTAGTTGAGCTTTGGTACTCGCGAAGAAATAAATAAATATAAGTGCAAATAAATAAACTAGTAGTGATATAAATAATTAGTAGTAAAGTGTTTAGTTAGTTTTATAGTGTTTTAAGTGTAGTTAAGTTATTAAATAAATAGTTTAGTTCGTTAATTAACCAGTGCGTGTTTTAATTCACACTACGAACAATAAAAACGTTACAATATTCTAAGTTTTAATTATAATTATACTTGTTTTTAAGAGATTTTTTTTCATTAACGATCAATAGTTAAATATTTTTATAAACATTTATCAAACAATTCATTGGTAGTATGTTTTATTAGAGTTAATTTGGTTGACAAAAAACTTTTTAAGAAACAATTAATATTTTTAGTTTTAAAAATTAGAATTTATACAAATTATTTATATATTATACCACATAAAAATTTGATTATTTAGAAATATTTATAAAATTTTTTAATTGTTAAATTTTTTTTTTTTTTAATTTTAAATTTCACTTTATTCAAATATTATTTATTATATATATTTTATTTCAAAATTAAATTTAAGTTTACTTATGTTTTATCAAATAAGTGTAAAAAAGTGGTTAAAAATAAAAATATCATAAAAATTATCAATTTTTAAAAATAAAAAATTATTACCCACATCGTTTTTATAAACAAACGGACCTTTTTATGTTGGTGGTTGATGTTTAAAAAAGTGGGAAGGTAGTTGGAGTGAGGGGTTGGGTTAAGGGTCCATAAGTCCCTCGTTTTCTTCCAAACGTTTTGAAAACACTTCTTTAAAGGTGATGGTAGGAGTTCATCAGTCAATCCATACAAAAATTATAAATTAAAAATAAACAATAATATAAATTCAATTATTTTTTCAAATTATTTTTAGTGCGACGTAAAACCTAGCAAATATACTCAATCGATACGAACGATATCAAGGTGACTTTGTGGAGCCTTGGGAAGCATACTCGCCTACGAATCTAGAGGTCCACGGTTCGAACCGACCACACGAAATTACAAACTTATTTCAATTACGTCTTCACCTCATCACGTGATCTAGATCTAAGAGATAAATCTAGTTAGACAGTAGTACCAACCTAGAGATCTAAGAGATAAACCAGGACCTTATCTTTCAGGAAAAGAACCCTGAGACCCGCGTTGGAGTCTCCCAGAAAAACCTTTTGATCATTGTCGTCGACAGCCGAAGAAATCCTGAAAAGGACATCTTCAGCACTGAAAATCCTGAAGTTTAGCCGAAGACATCCTGAAAAAAATATATTTACGATTTTTAAGGCCTTTCATTTTAACCATCCCCCCAAATGTTAGCTACTAGTTTTTCGATATGATGATAGTGCTTACTTATACAATTTTGTGTTTTTCTTTTATAATAACGCACTACACAAACATAACAAATTGTTTAAAATAGGTAACAATGATGTCCTCTCAAACGGTAGTGAAAAAAATATAAAACAAGTTTATTAAAAAATGTATCGTACCTACTTGATAAATAACCACAAATTATTTTTTAACACCTTAGTTATAATGGTTAACAATAAACCCCTAGTATTTCTCATAAATACATAAACATTACGGCGGAATCTCTGTGTAAACTGGGTAATATTTAAAAGTGCATTGATAACAGATTTTTTCCATGTATAACTCGTTTAACCAATTCAGACAAACTAGGATGGTAAAATTTTTACTTACCACTAGGTTGGTCAAATACTAAATATTGAGAATCTACTTTAAGATTTCCTATTCTTCCAGTTTCAACACTACTGAGTATAGCATTATAAACTTGATCATTAATTTTTTTGTTTATTTGGTTATTTTCTGATATCATTTTATCCATTTCCAAGTTAATTAGAGCAACAATATTATTATTTAAACTAAAAAATATAAATAGTATTAAATTTTGTATTTATTTGTATTTGTATTCAAATTAGCACCACTTTTAAGTTTAATAATATTATAAATAAAAACCAGACAACTTTTTATTTATTTGTAACTCCATTTTATGAATCCGATGCACAAATAAATGGATTTTTTCATGAAGATTATATATACCTAATTGAAGCAAAAATTCCGCAACAGGAAAAGTTTTTTATGTGTAACAAAAATTTTATAAGAAATACCATTTAAACAACAAGAGCTGTTTAATAATTTTTTCTTATTTGCATTTGTTTGGGTGTGTAGGCCGGGCATGTCCGCCTGGCCGAATGTCGGCTATGTTTACTTGGCCGAGTGTCGGCTGTGTATAGTTGGCCGAGTGCCGGCCACAACAGCCTGGCCATTCAAAAAAAGCCTGAATCTTCTGGTGTATTGCTTCATCAGATTGCTCTTGCATTATTGACTTATCTTTGTTGTATTTAGTAAAAGTATTAAGAATTATTGGCCCCTTACAAATTGCCTCGGAATGTTGAAAAGACGTTAAAATATCTTTTATCATTCCTTGTTTTAAAATTCTTACGGTCGTTTCTAATGAACCTGTTACAGCAAAATTTTCTTCTTGATTTTGCTGAACTTTCCATACCTTGTTTAAATATTTTAAAAGGAACGAGACCGCATTTTCTTAAGCCATCTGGAAAATTTTAATTTTTTTTAAACGTGGTTTCCAATATTTGGTAATTTTTTTCCATTTTTTATCGGTGTACACTTTTTTCCATTCCAGCTTTAATGGTAAAAAAACTGAAAAATCTAGAGACAGCAAAATCAGTGGCGATTTTTTCATAGGAGCACATAAGCACTTGCACCCTCATACAGAATTTAAAAGTAATTAATTAATTTATGTTACTTTTCATAAAGTTCCCGAACCTACTTATTATCGCACCGTTCCCCACCGCCTCGCACGCTCACGTCGAAACGAAATGAAACCAAATGAGGAAGAACGGTCGCACAATGTTCAAAAACTACCGTTTTGCGGAAATAATTCATTAACTTTTTTATTACGAATAAATATTTGTTTTTTTATTTTTTTCTGACTTAAGTACGACTTAATAATATATATATATATATATATATTAGGGTGTCCCTTATTTTTATTTTTTTTACGCATACCCTCTAATTATATTTATTACGTGTTTATATACTCCCAGTAAAAATTTCAGCTCATTCTATAAACAGGAACCCGTGCCGACTTGCATCTGAACCCTCCGTTAGTCAACGTTAGGCGCGCGGTATTTTGTAACACGGTTGGTCGCGAGGTCTTCGATCGTAAGTCATTTTGTGTTTGTTATTATGTGACCCTTATATTATAAATTATTGACAAATGTTAAAATATAATTTTATTTATGTGTATACTTTGATAAAAATGTATATTTTCACAGGGAGTGGCTAGTTACCCGGAAGGGTCTGGTGAATAGGCCGTAAACTCTGAAATTGATAAACTTAATGGGTTTTACTCTAAATAACTAAAAGAGTCTATTGTGAGAGATGACTACCAAAAATTTATGGAATGTCTGAAATATTTTTGGGAGGACATCAAGAAAAGAAATGCTTATAAAAAGCTGAAATTTCATATAACAGTATATTTTAGCAATACTAATTAGTATATTAATATATTTAAGGGATAAAATCAACTAAATTAGTGAAAGAAATGATAGAAACAAAAGCAATAATATTAATTAGTAATCATATTTAATAAAATCATTAGAAAAATACAGTTACAAAATACCGCGCGCGCCTAACGTTGGCTAACGGAGGGTTTAGATGCAAGTCGGCACGGGTTCCCGTTTATAGAATGAGCTGAAATTTTTAGGGAGTATATAAACAAGTAATAAATATAATTAGAGGGTATGCGTAAAAAAAATAAAAATAAGGACACCCTAATATATATATAATATATATATATATATAATATATATATATATATAATTAAGTATATTTTAATTAAAAAAATTAAACTTTTGATTTTGTAATGCATTTTTAGATCGGCAAAATCATCGTTTTACTGAAATAATTTAAACTTTTTTTATTACAATAAATATTTTACTTTTTATTTTAAGAGTTATGTTAAGGAGCATGGATACAGATTTACAAAAAACTGCCGTTTTTGCTGCATAAAAAACTTCAAGTACCTATAAGTTTGAATCTAGTAATTAATTTTAAATCAATCTTTAAATTTCGTTTTTTAACAATTCGTTCTTCTGATGTCAACCATTTCGTTTTAAATTTATAAAAAAAGTTGTTTTTAATTTTATCCATAATAAGTTTGAATTAATTTTCATCTAAATTTGAAAACATATCTTTTAAATTTACATAAAAAATGGTGTCGTCTTTGTCACTATTTAGGTCTGTTAAAAACTTAAAAGAAACGCAGAAAGTACCTAATTAATCTCAAAATTTAATTGGCTAAATTAAGTTTGTTATTAATATATACCTATATAAATACAAAACTGATTTAAAATAAAACAATATACCTATATATACTACCAATTGTTATAACAGTTATGAAAAGTATTATTAATTAAACAAATTATACTTGATATTTAAAATTTTTATAAAGAAAATGTAATGTAATAATAATAAAGTTATAAAGTTATAAATAATAATAATATGCATATTTTTAAATAAATAAAATACATTATGCATATATATATATATGTATGTACAAATCTTTAGGAGTCGATTTAGAAATTAACATTTTAGTTAAGTACGAGCTACCGCGATTTATCCATGCTGCGCGACGTATAAATATTCATAACTTTTTTTGTATGCACTTATATGCATCTAATTTTTGGTGTGCTTAATAAGCACTGCTTATAAAGGGAAGCTTACTGAACAATTTGGCGTAAAGAACACCCTGTAAATCCTAGTAAATCGCGGTCATTTGTCTATGTAAAAAAATATTTTTTAAATTAACAATGTGTCTTTAAAACCTTATAACTTTTACGTTAGTTTTAATTTACTATTAAAATTTCTATTATTTAATAGATAAAAAAGGTATTAAATGTAAGCTTTATTTTAAGCCAAATTTACGGTTTTAAAAACATTCTACTGAGAGTTTTTAAAATTAAAACAGAAGTAATTCAATTTTTTGGTTTACCAAAACCTAATGGTTTAAGGTGTTTTAACAAATTGACGTCATAAAATTAACAAAAATAAAAACTTATTAACTTATTATTTCCGTCGATTGACCAGTGTGGGTCGCACGTGCGAAAAGTAGGCGGAGCAGTTTATCTGTATATTTTTAGGCTACTGGTGGTGGGGGAATCGCAAATTTTAATTTTAGCTTGTTTGTTGTCCAATTTGCCTGTTGTATCGGATTTTACCGATCACGTCAGATTTCTCCTGCAACACCGGGTGTAAATATCATTCGCAAACGTCCAGAATTGACGTTGATACCCTAGACCTAGAGTTAATACTTTCATCTGATTTAACCCACTATTGCCTGCATTTCGTCCATGTCTGCATTTATATGATTTTATCTGCAAATGCCTGATGTCATCCGATTTTATCCGCGATTGCCTTCTTTTCGTTCTATGTCTGCATACATCTAGTTTTATCCAAAAATGTCTGATTTTATCCAATATTATCCGCGATTGCCTTCATTTCGTTCTATAGAACGGATGAATGCAGACATATATGTCTGCATTCATCCGGTTTTATCCGCAAATGCCTGAGTTTGGTTTTATGTCCGGCGGACATTGTCCGCATTTATCCGTTTTATCACCTTTTACCAGCCCAAGCCTGTTTTTTTTTCTAGTAAACCCACAATTTTTAAATTCTTTGAATTTTACCTGAGTTTGCTTATTAAGTTTTTTGTCCGATATACAGTATGTACCTGGATTGATTTTATAACAATAATAATAAAGTTTTTATTTATTGTCAGATAAAAAAAATTATGTACATAAAATAAAAATGTAATACATCACTAGAGTAAGAAATGGCAATAAAAGAGCAGTTAAAAACTGATATAGAATTTTAGCCCTCAGATAATCCAATTAATAATTTACATAAAACATAATAATAATAATACTTAGAATCTATATAATACTGAGAAGGAAAAAAAAACTTTTTTTTTTATTCTTTCAAAAGTAAGTTCTTATAGTGATACTTTAAAGATATAATTTTGTAGAGTTTATATGATTCTGGTAGGGAATTGTATAGCGTATAGATGTTGTAAGTAAATGACCGTCTAAAAATGGCTGTACGATGTGGTGGTGGCGAAATTAGACCCCTAAATCTTAGATTTAAGGTATGGATGTCTGTACGAAATGTTATCTTATTATATAGGTACATAGGTGTTTTGTTTAGTATAATAGTTTGATATTGATCTCATAAACTCAATCCGGGGACCTACTGTATATCGGACGAAGAACTTAATAAGCAAACTTGGGTAAAATTCAAAGAATTTTAAAATTGTGGGTTTGAGGTTTGAGGAAAATAGGATTTTATCTACAGGGTGTTTAAAAATGTGAAAAACATTAAATTCATAAATTTAATAAGAAAAAAATGTTTGTAATTAGAACAAAGTGTACCTACCTTTGCATACAAAAATTACGACTGAAATTACAAAGTTGTTTTTTTTGTTTTTTTACAGGATCAGGTTTATCCAGGGAAGATAAAAGGCATTTTTTTAATCAAAAATTTTATCAAGAATTATTTTTTCCAAAAAAATAACAAATAAAGAGGCCTCTAATCTTCTCTGTATTAACTTGTAACCTCAACTTGAGGGCTATAGCGAACGACACCTTGTCAGTGGTGAGATAGGCAAATGTTATTTTTTAATACTTAGGTACGTGTATAAACGCAAACAAAAATATTGGCACCAGTGTCTTAAGTGTGCCAGTTGTTTAAATCCAGTTAAGTCAGATACAATCTTACTGGTGAATAAGTGCGGTTATAAAAAGTCAAGTTTAAAAAAATTATAATTATATTTGGTCAACACAGTTGTAAAAGTGATTATTATTATGATTTGATGTTAAATTAATAATTTCGGTGCACCCTTATGGCCATCAATGGTTTACCAAACCTTGTTTCAGTCACCATGACTCTAGTTAAAATTTAAAATTGTAATTTATGTGATATTAGCTTTAAGTCATGTAACCTGTGTTGCCTACAATCTGTACATATATAGTATACGAGTATACGTATGAATCGTATAATAAAGCAGTGATTGAATAGACACCAACTTGCATGTATGATTGCCCCACCTGCACTACACAAATAACATAAAAATAATCAATAAAATAACTTATTATTACCTAAAGTTAAGTTAAAAGAAAAAGTTAATTGAACAAAAAATTTAAGTTTAAAAAATTATAAAGTTTTTTAATTAAAGGCATAATTAAGTATGGCGCAGAAAAATGGTTATAGATAGATAAAAAAATCAATATTATTTCGTTACGACCTGGCTGGATTGAGCTCGGCAAGATCCTAAAGTATTATGGATCTCTTTAGATTTGTTTACCAAAACGATCAAGGTGACCACCATAAAAACTGATTAAAAAACTGTTTCCAATGTAAAATTGTAGGAAAATAAAGATGCTTACACTTAAACCTTCTTACTTAAAGCAATATAACAGCAACGTAACATTTTAAAACTATTGTAATGTGACAAAATTACCAATAAGCAATATAACAGCAAGGTAACAATGTGAAACCATTGTAATATAACAAAATTACCAATATGCAATATAAAAGTAACATGTAACAATGTTACTTAAAAAAGCGGGAAATAGGAACCTATTTGCAACCGTCAGGTTATGTAACTGTAATGTTACGATTTTGGATAATGTAACGTTACAGTTATGTTTCACTTACATAACGGCAATGTTACATTGTTATGTAACAATGTTACTTTAATGAGTGGGGAATAGGAACCTATTTGCAACCGTCAGGTTATGTAACTTTAATATTACGATCGTAACATTTTGGTTAATGTTACGTAACAGTTATGTATCATTTTCATACCGGCAATGTAACATTGTTATGTAACAATTTTACTCATATGAGTGGGAAATAGGAACCTATTTGCAACCATCAGGTTATGTAACTGTAATGTTACACATCATAATCGTTACATAACATTTTGGTTAATGTTACGTAACAGTTATGTATCATTTTCATAAAGGCAATGTAACATTGTTATGTAAAAATGTTACTCCTATGAGTGGGAAATAGGAACCTATTTGCAACCATCAGGTTATGTAACTGTAACGTTACACATAACAATCGTTACATAACATTTTGGTTACTGTTACGTTACAATGTTGACCGGGATAATACCAAAAACACAATTTGATAAATCGACTACAACGTTGCAACCTGTGATGAACTAAAAAATCTGCTACTAATATAGTTACGAAGAAAAAGAACAAAGACTATAGAATAATTTTCGAGCATTTCTGCTTTCATATAGAATCTTACTAATGCAGGGATGGAAGTACTATTAAATTCAAACATTATTATTCTTCTTTTTTATTAAATAGTAGTAATACTACAGTGGTTTCATAAACTTCTAAGCAGATATAAAATGCAAATCAATTTAACAAAAACATAAAAACATTGAGTATGGTCATATAGTAGTCACATTAAAAAATTATTTTATTTGTTATCATTTTATTGTCATTTATTTTCATTGTCACCAACACTATTATTGTTATTAAATAAATTGACATCCAGTTCATCGCAGGCGCCGCTGCTTATAATTGTTTCAGATTTGGACTCATCTGAACTGGAACTGTTTTTTGTTCACTTACTGCTAAATCAGATCATTAGCGCAAGAAGTCATGAGATTCTCTTCCACATTACAGGAATTATCTGCAAAACCAATTATTTTAATAAACGGATGTAAGTGCTTACTATAATAAATAATATTTTTTAAACATTTAAAATAATTTTTCATATAGGTATTAATGTTAAACCCACAAAAAACAATTTTATGTGAACTTACCTTCAGGTGGATTTAAATTAATTTTATCCTAAATCGGCAGTAAAATATTCAACAATCGGCAGTAAAGTAGAACTTTACTGCCGATTTAATATGAGTATTGTATGCAACCCATTATACATGTTTACTGCTACTCAGCAGCAACTAAATATTATTTAAAAAAAGCAAAAATCTTGTATAATAAAAATAATAAGTTAATTTTATTAATTAAATTAAAAAATCGCCGCGGCGGGCAAATATATCATAACTGTCCCAACAAACAGTATACGTAGACACTTCCTACATTCAAATGACATTTGATTTAATCATCAAATGACATTTGACTTGATTATCATTATTAATTATTAGTAATAATAAATGTGATTTCGAATATAATTTAATATGCACCTCGGCAATGCCGAGTCGGCATTATTAGTCATTTTTTATCACTCACGTGGTTATTTGCCTCGGCTTTCGCCTCTGCAAATAATTTTCACATTCGTGATAAAAAATACGACTTTACTGCCTTGATACATAAATAACTATTTTTTTAATGCGTCTTTGCTTATTACGGCATACGCTCTTGTATGCTTCTGGTAACAAATACCGCTTATACCTTTTTTTAGACGCTCTCGAACTATCCATATTATAAGAAATCGCTTTAAAACAGTTTTAAAAACTCTAAAGAGAGGCTACGCAAAAACCGTTAAAATTGACGTTCTAGTCCGTGAGTGGCGCCATCCTGTTTTTTTGGACATTGGGAAAACGCGGAAAAGTTCAATTGATGATCCCGGAATGATAACCAGGTAAAAACCAACATCATTTGCAAGAATGACAAAAAACTGATTATTACTGAGTACTTTTATTTATTTTTATTATTTTTTTGTGTTGTAAGTTATTTGTATCTCACTAACACAAAAAAATAATAAAGAAATAAAATTACTCAGTTATAATAAATTTTTGCTCTTCAGTAAAAAAATAATGCTGTATATTACCCGGTTATTCTTTTGTGATTTTCAATTATTTTTTAATGAAAAATTAACTGGTACTTTCTAGTCCAAATTAAAAAAATAATTGGTTTATAGCGATGGGAATGGGTTTGGCGCTATGAATTACCAATTCATTCCATTTGTATTGGATTTAGCCAATAGAGACAAGCATAGGCATGGATTGGTATCGTCAATCCAAGCCGCTGACTCTTCATTGACCAATAGAATCCAATAAAAAAGTAATTGACGGTTCCTTAAGGAACCGTATGAAGATTTTTTCAAGGTTTTAGCGGTCCCCAAAACTTCTGTTTTGTTCCTCTCAGTGAGCGGTTTGCTCGATGAGACAGTGTCAAATATAAGTGACTTTTCGATCTGGAAGGGACAAGAATGGAGTCCTGGTATTGCAATATACCTGTGTTTTTTGACAATATTCCAAGCTTTGACCTCTTAGCGAGGTGTTTTGTGATTTCTACAACTAATTGAGCGGATGATTCACGATTTAAAAAATTCGCGTGCTCTTGTTTGTGGGAAGCTGTTAACGGTAAACACATGTTTCTGGTCAAAATGGACATACTTTCCAAGACCAATTAATCCTACATTTTGTGTACCTCGGAAGAAGATGTCTGTTTTAAAATTCTCTTATTTCTTTCATAATATTATACTAACAATTGTTTGACTTAAGATTATTTACGTTGTTATTGGTTTTCTTAAATTTAAGTAATATTGGAATTTTTTTTGGAAAACACATATTGCGTCTAGTTTGAATTTTTTTTTATTAAATAATTTATCAAAAAATATTATCTAAGCATTAAAATAAAGAAGACTTGACGTAATAACATAGTTTCATATATTATATAAAACTGACCATATTTTGTTTTAAAATAGGTCTGAAAATTACATTTCTAAAAGTAGTGCTAATTTTGTTCATAGTTTTTAATTTTATTAAAACTTACTCTTTTAAATTTTCAACCATAATTCTTCTATAACCAGGTAGTTTTTTAAAAAGTTCATTAAAATTGGTTTCTACAGTTTTACTAAGATCCTCATATTGCAAAGAACCTTTTGCTGGGATAACAAAGTTTTCTCCTAAATCAATTAATTTAATTTCAACATTGTACATTCTGCTTGGTGATTCTGTTGTTGTCAAATCATATTGTTCATCTGGAATAAATAAAGGTTTTATTAATAAAATGTTGGCTTTGATTTGTTATGCATGATGTATTTATAGTATTGTATTATTTATAGTATCCGGGTATTGCAGTTACATAATCATAAAGTTAGGATTTTAATATTTCTAAGCTTACACTGTATATTGAGACGCATTTTTATTTTTAAATATAGTCTTCCAAAAAAGTGTGATGTAATGATTAAATAATTAATTTGCTACGTTTTTATTGCAATACAAAATCCCTATGTGACTCGGACCATGTCACACATCTTAACGAACTCCTAACTACCCTCCCCCTTAGACGTCACAAAAAAACTAAACGCTATACTCAGGTTTATAAGTATTTAAATTAATAATACAGAAACAATGTTTGACCTAACTGTTAGGTCTTATTTAAAAAACTTGCAACATTACTATAAAGAAAAGTCAATTTGTCAGGATTAACACTTTTATTCAAATACCACTTGAAACTATTAACAATTCTAGAAACAATATTTATAATTAAGACATCGTGTAAACACACCGACAGCTGAATTATTACTAATAAATAAATACATGTAATCAACTACCACGGGTCGGTTCTGAATCATTCACACCGGTTGCCTAATGCGTAACATTCGGCCATCCTAACTATGTCTGTCAGACTTTTCATCAGGCTCATCTGAAAATAAATTTCAATCCTCACTTTAGGGTCTCGTGTAATTAAATTCTTAGTGATCGGGTCTATTACATCCCTTCTGGGTACTAATTTTCCCGACAATCACTAATATTATTTTATTGATGCATAGTATTAAAATCCAAGTACCTCTTAGTATATACTGGTTTTTAATACTCTGCATCTCCTAAAACTGTGCATAGTATCCTTAGATACCTCACATTACTTTAAATTAACTTTAGTTCTTATTATACGATTCTTCTCTTCTTATTAGAAACCTATAATTCACTATGCATTTTAATTCACCTACTTTTATGTTTAAAGTTTATCATTACCTCTTATTATAACCCATGGCTTTAATTTATCACAAGAAATTACAGTCCTTGACTTTCGGGAGTCCTCCCTTAAGTCCTGTACCTCATATCTATCAATGAACAAAAACATTGAATGGCCCCTTATACTTTGGGAGCAACTTTCGACTCGTGCCAGTAGCGGGTGCATCTGTTTTCATGACCATGACAACGTCTCCCTAGTTATAGGACTTTGCTGGTTTTCGGACCTTGTCGAAACGCTCCTTTTGCTTTCTTTGGTCTTCGGTCAATCTCTTGGAGATACCGTCTCGTAGTTCAGTCAATTGCAGCCTGTTCAAATCAGACTGTATGGCTCCAAGTATGTTGTATCGTTAGCACTGCCCATTAGCTCTTGGAGTGGCTACTGCATTCAGGACATGTCTTATCCCATATGTCTCGCAAAACGTCTTCAATGTGGAGGACGTAAATAATATCCTGCAGTATCTTTGTTACGGATTTCATTTTTGTGTCCTTTACAGGTTCTATAAAACAGAACTTGATAAATCCATCTACCAGAACAAAAAGGTACTTATTGTTCTTCTTGCTGGTTACGAACGGTCCAAGATGGTCCACATTTACCGTATGGAATGGCACTGGAGTTTTCTCAATTGGATGCAGAAAACCAGGCTTCTTGCCGCCTATATGCTTATAGTAAGCACAGGAGAGGCATGGCTCAACATACTTCTTAACAAATCGTCGAGCTTGTGGAAACCAATAGTGTTCAAATATTTTGTGTTAGGTTTTTCCTACCCCAAAATGTTCTCCTTCATCATGACACAGTTTGCATATTTGCCAACGAGATGACTTGGGAACCACCCATAGCGATTTGTCTTCAACTTTTCTGTACAGCTTATCGTCATGTAGCTCCTAATTATCAAAATACTGATTTTTGGAGCGATCAATAACGCCTTCCTTGAGTATAAGTTGAATCATATTTAGTTGCTTATCTTGGATCTGAGCTGCAACTATCCAATCAGCTTCTGTGATATCGATTGTTGAGATTGCTAGCATTGTCGGAATTGGACTTTTACTTAGAGCATCCACGTGTCCCATTTTCGTTCCGGGTCTATGTATGATATTGAAGTCATAGTCTTGTACTTGTCACCACTACCGGGCCACTCGTGGTAGCAAATCTCTTTTAGTAAACGCTGTACGTAACGCATTACAATCGGTAATAACATCTGCCTAACAGATACACTCTAAAATGTTGTAAAGCAAGTACAACTGCCAAAGTTTCCAACTCGTAAGAATGATAACGACGTTGTTCGGTGCTAGTCTGCTTACTGAAATTTCCAACCACATGTTGGTTTTTATCTTTGAATCCGTGTGTAATTCAGTTTTAAGTGTATCATCAAATATTGTTAATACTGGTCGAGTGACCAAAATCGATTTAACCTTTTTAACAGCTTCTTGTTGTTCATTTGACCATACAAATAAAGCATCCTTTCTTAATAACCTGGTGAGCGGTTCTACTGTTGTAGAGTAATTTTGAACATATTTACGAAAGTAACCGGATAGCCCTAAAAATTGGCGTACTTTTCTCACGTTAGTAGGATCGCGGATTTCGCTAACAGCTCTAATCTTTTCCGTACCAGGCTGGATACCTAGTTCACCTCAATGCCCGCTTTTGTGTGAGAATACTTTCCCTATAGGGAAAGTATTCTCACACAAAAGCGGGCATTAGTATAATATAAAGTATACTTTAACCCCACGAAATGGAAACAGTCTCAGTTAAAAATGATTTGTATATGTGTGAAAGTATTGCTAAAACAAATAATTTTGACATTTAGTGAAGCATAAGGCTTGGTTTGTCCCATATGCAAACATTCCCATATAATATATAACTGCACGGATTTTATGAATTCATTTCCGAGAGAAAGATGCGAAAAGGCAAAAAATGCGAGTTTCTGCGTTAATTGTTTTGAAATTGTCGTCACATTATTTCTTGTGAGACATGTAACGGGCGGCATCACACATTATTACATATCAATCGCGTTCAAGGCAATGATCGCTCACGTAAAACTACCTCAAATCCTGTCGTTTTAACCCCAATCGAGCCATCTACTTCGTTAACAAATTGTTCATTCTCTAACATCACGGTACAAGGCCAGGTAATCTTACCAACCGCTCTAATAAACGTTTATGACAGATACAATAAAATGCATACAGCCAGAGCACTTCTGGATTCCGGCTTACAAAGTTCATTTTTTTTCTGCCTAATTGCATAATAAATTAGGTATTGCAACCAAGCACGTTGATTGGACAGTGTCCGGCATAACAAATATTTCACGCAAATTAGAGGAACGGTGCAATTTAAAATTATCATCTAAAATAAACGATTTTTGTGCAAAACTACAGTGCTTCATTGTTCCCCAGATTTCGGGTCATATACCGTCTGCGCCCTTAAATACGCAAAATCTAAACATCCCAGAGAACTTGCCGTTGGCAGACTACATGTTTGATAAACCCCAAAAAATCGACATCCTTATCGGAAGTGACCTGTTTTGGAGCCTTGTGTCTAGGTAAAAACAACCCAATAATGCACCAAACATTATTCGGTTGGGTTATAGCAGGGCCGTACTTTGTACCATTTCCAGCGCGCAACGAAGTAAAGTGCAATTTTTTAACGTCATCTTCCGAAACCCAAAATCAAAATCAGTTAGCGCGATTTTGGGAATTAGAGGAAATTGCCGAAGGGCAAATTTTATCAAAGGAAAAGATTGGTTGCGAACAGCATTTTCATAATACTACTCGACGAGACTCCGCGGATAGATTTATAGTAGCCCTTCCTTTTAATGAACCCCCCGAAAAATTAGGTGATTCCTATCATAAAGCACTAAAACGATTTATGTCACGTAGGGAAAAACCGACAAATTTTCTCGGACAATGTTAAAAATTTTGTCTCTGCAAGTGCGGATTTTAAAGAACTTAGCTCATTTCTTAAATTAAATAAGTCTAGAATTGTTAATTCATTGTCTAAAGACGAGATATAATGTAAATTCTCACCTCCTTATTCGCCACATTTTGGTGGCCTTTGGGAGGCAGAAGTTAAATTAATTAAACATCATCTCAAAAGAGTTATATCAAATGCACACCTTAAACGACGACGTAGAGAATAGTTAAAATCAGTGAACAGAATAAATATATTGGACTCATATAGACATAATATAAGTTAGTGTTAGGTAGTTAGGCTTAAAATTTATATGTTCGATTATAGCATGTTTAAAATTATAAGGCAGTTATTTTTACAAATTATATTTTACTTAAACATATATATTTACCGAATTTATAATTCACCAATTGAGATACTTCATTTGCATTGTCATATCTATAAGTAAAGGGTATTGCCATATCAATGTATTTTTCTTTGTTTTTTTTGTTTGTTTTTTGGCAATACTTGACAAGGCCGAGGGCATGTTTACGCTTGACCCATATATCATAAATTGTCTGTGTAACAAGTGCATAATATTTACAAGTTAAGGCAAATGTACCAAGAAAAGGGAGAGTCGATTCTGTTATGACATCTGGAAGATATCAGCCGTCAAGTGGCTGCAACGCCCTTTCCTTTTTGGTATATTTTCTACCTAGATTTAGCATTTTTCAACATTAAGAATTTAAGCTTAGTCATATACACAACCATTTAAAATAAAGTTTTGTTTTTTGTTAAACCATGTTTTAATCGCGCAACAACATAATCACCGCAACGAACATACCAAAATATCCTTTTACGTTTAAAGATTTATATATATTGTTTAAACTAAATAAACCATTATCCGCAAAACATTTGGTTTTGAAACTGAGTTGTTTCTTGCAAAGTTAAGTAATTAAATTTTTTTTACAGCCTAATACTGAGTAAGAATTTGGACAAAATACTCAGATCTGAGATTCTATAGACATCACAAAACAGCCAGGTTTTAGTCAAGCAAAAAATATGGAATTCACAATCACATATAGCACTAGAAAAGACGTAATTTTTTGAGTTTAAACCCCGAAGATTTTGATAGTACGCACTAACTGTAGTTGTAGAGATGGAGGTGAAGTGTTGGGCATACAAGTTTACATTTTTATGAATTGGTACAATGGTTGAAACATTATTTATGTATTTAATGTTCAAAATTTCACCATTCTCAATTTTTTTGTCTAATCTACTTTTAATCAATATATAGTAACTATTTTGTCTAGAAGTTTTATATTTAAGTAATAAAAACAATTTATTTAAATAATAACAATAAATTGTATAAAACATAATAGATGCTGGGCTATTCTCAGGTAGTTCTACTCTCAACTAGTTTTACACTTCACTTTTCTAGTCATTATCCCTCAGTTTTACTCTACTCTGGTTGATTGACAAGAATGATTCGAAGGGAAGCACCTGCTGGCAGTACGTAGGCAAACCCCCTTTTGGTGGAGCCTTGCCTTACCTTAGGAGCCTACAGCTTTTAAGAAAAGCGCAAACCCGCTCTGGTCGGGCATGCTTTATTTCCTTTGGTTCCAGATACCTGTCCCCAAGGTGTCTTAATCTGCCATTGACTAAAGCGTCTCATTTGTAGACTGTATGCTCGGTAGTTTCGTCAACTTTATTTCAGTACCTACAATCCGTCACATTGCCGGTTTTGAGCAGGTGATATTTGACTACCCAGTGCCCTGTTACTAACAGGCTGTTAGGACTCCTGTAATGGCTCTTAGATGGTTCCTGTTCAGTTTCAGAAATCTTTTTGACTCTTTGCAGTTTGTAGGATTCTTTATAACGACCCTTGACTGTCTAAGGTTGACTGTCTAAGGTCTTGTTGTTTTCGCAATTAGTTATGGAACTGGTTGTTAGTCCAGTTTCTGATCTTGGCTTTCACCAGACAGGAGGCAACCCCTATAGCAGGTTCTCGCCCTATAAAGGCGGTGTTACAGCCCTCTCGAACCAGCTGGTTGCCTTTGATACCTCGATGACTCGGTACCGAGATACGGGTGACCTTGTTAAGTACACTTAAGTAATTCTAGGGTTTTTATGCAGTCCAGCGTGAGCTTCAAGTTGACACTTTCTGAAGACGGAGCCCAGAGTGCTGCTTAATTCGCTACACATGTAAATATGTTTACCCCAGTAACCCCTCTAAACATTCTCTTGGGCGCAGATCGAGATGGCTTAGATCTCAGTCTGTTATACTGTTGAGTATCGACTCAACAAGGCTTATTCACGCCACAGGTCGCTCCCCGTGTATACCAGCTCCTGCACCTCCATTCATTAGAGACCCGTCTGTGTACCAGATGAGCCCCTTCGGTTTTAGGTAGCCTGGGTCAGACTCGCTTCAGTCGTTTCTTAAAGAGAAAACAACTTTATGAGCCCATTGTCCCCAATCGTTGAGCCCCACCGAGGCTTCCTGAGCCCTTGCCTTCACAAAGATGTAGAGGCGTTAGTCTCAGTATGGCCTTCATTGCCAGTGCAGGCCCATATGCTAGCAGTGGCCCTCTGGACGACCCTATTGACTTAATCCTTTTACGTCATGATCTCTTACCACTCGAACCTTTCGCCAAGATTGTGGCAGGTAGCCCCGCGCATGGCAGACTTTGAAGAGGCGTATTAAGTATGGGTTCAGTGGTTCTAGCCCCTTTTTTAGACAGCCAGAAAGATGCCATCTGGTCCCTTTTAAAAGATCCAAATAAGTGGATAGCCCACCACTTTTGCAGCTATCTCTCAGCTAGCTGGCCTTACTTCACATGTTGACAGTTTGCAGGATTTCTGAGCCAGGAGCCGTTTAAGTGCCTTATCTGCGATGGTGCTATAGTCAGGCAGTTTTCCTTGCAATCCTTGTTGAGGTCAGAATCCCACAAAGGGATTTTCTTTTTTGCTTACTTGCTTACATTTTAATATAACCACTTTATACATTCAATAATAGAATAGAAATACGTTATTTTTTACAATATAAGACAAAAAATTAGCAATAAACATTAGTCTTCTGTTGAGTTTTAAAGTGAGCAGTTGTCTGTGTAGATAAGAAAGTGTGTTCTAGTATGAAAATGTCGAGTTAAACGCGCCGCAGTTGCAAAATTTCTCCCGACAAATTTTGTTATATTTGTGGAGAATTTCTGGTGAAATCACAAGCTAGGCCGTTTTCTGACAATGTAAAGAAAGCCTACTTCAAATATTTTGGGTTTTTAATTGGAGATCAAGACAAGCAGTGGGCCCCCTATGTGTGCTGTGTTACTTGTAGCGTGTCATTGGTACAGTGGATGAAGGAAAAGAGAAAAAGCATGACTTTTGCAGTGCCAATGGTATGGCGAGAACCCACCAATCATTTTAACGATTGCTATTTTTGCCTGACAAAGACTGAAGGTTATTCCAAAAAGGAAAAGCACAGGATCGAATACCCAAATTTGCCGTCTGCCATACGACCTGTCCCTCATAATGTAGATTTATCAGTGCCGATTGCGCCTTTAGATTGGCAAGATATTATTTTAGTAGGTAATGGAGATAATGCATCAACAGACATCTCCGAAAAACAGTGTACCGACCCTACTTTCACCCCAGGTCCCAGTTCCAGCGAGCTGGATTTGGGGTTATCAAAGCAACAGTCAGAACTTCTTGGTTCTTGTCTTAAGAAATGGAACCATTTCGCCAAAGAAACAAAAATTACGATTTTCAGGAAAAGAAATGCTACGTTTTCAGCATTCTACAGTATGGAAAATTCGTTGTGTGCGTGTACTGATATCAATGGTTTAATGCAAGAACTTGATATTGAACATTTTCCCTGTGAGTGGCGCTTATTTATAGACTCATCTAAATATAGTTTAAAAGCTGTGTTATTACATAATGGAAATATAAAACCCTCTATACCGGATACAATAAACTACAACAAGTATAAATGGCAGATATGTGATGACTTAAAAGTTATAGAAATTTTAGTGGGACTTCGGGGGGATTTACAAAATACTGCTTTGTTTATGCGACAGTCGTGCAGTAAATCAGCATTATGTAACACAATTTTGGCCAGAAAGAAGGGAATTTCAACCGGGATCTCATAATGTTAAGTTTGTATCCCTTGTAGACCCCAAAAATGTCCTCCTGCCTCCTCTTCATATTAAACTTGGCCTGATAAAAAACTTTGTGAAGGCTATGAATAAAGACGGTGATGGATTTAAATACCTAAGACAAATCTTTCCCCAGATAAGCGATGCTAAATTAAAAGAAGGTATTTTCATTGGGCCACAAATAAGAAAATTGCTGGACGATGTTAATTTTACAGAAAAGCTTACCGGGCAGGAACTCAGAGCATGAAACTCATTTGTTAGTGTAGTAAGGGGATTTTTGGGAAACAATAGGGATGAAAACTATGAACAATTAGTTAATGAACTTTTAGATGCCTACAAATCGCTTGGTGCCCGAATGTCATTAGAAATTCACTTCCTTCATTCCCATATGTCATTTTTTCCTAAAATTTAGGAGCTGTTAGTGACGAGCAGGGTGAAAGGTTGGGATCCAGCTATGATGGGTGATTATTGTTGGTTTTTGAAGAGAGAAGATAAAAGGAAAAAATAAAATTTAAGATGTTTTTAATGTTTGTTTTTTTTTTCTTAGATGTAAGGTATGTTTAGTAGGTGTAAACTATAAATATAGTCAATATACAGGGTTAAGAAATTCTGAAATTATTTTGTTAAATAAATATTAAATATTTTAACATAAGATGTGGTTCTATAAATGTAACAATAAAACCTTACGTGTTACAACTTTCTTTTTGCCATTTTCGTATTTAGATAACTCCATTCCACCAAACTAAGCTATTCAGCTTTGTGATACAAGAAAAAAATATTTTTTGTCGGTCTGTGTAATTTGCGGAAACCGATGGCATTGCAATATTATTTTAATGCTTGGTTTAATATCTTTAAGGATTTATGGTTTTATTTTTCTAGGTTGTTTACACCTATTTTTTTGTTGTTTTCAGTATTTTAAACAAATTGTTCACTTATTTTTTTCCATACTACCTACTAGTATTATACTCAAAGGTTGGATATACAATAATTATTTACTGTTTCTATAAATACACAACAATCTATATCAGTACCATCACTACAAAAACAAACTTTTATTTTGGTACATAATTAATAGATACATCATAAAATTAAATCAAGGACATGAAATTTGTCGAGTTGTTTAATTTGTTTAATTTATCTGTAAAACTGATATATCGTTTTACGCAAAGTAATTTTTTAAAATACGAAGTATTGGTCTTATATATTACTTACCATTTCCACATGAACGTATGCAGATTCTTTCACTGGAAACTGTAGGTAAAATTTCATGCTTTCGTAGTTTTTTATTAACACTATTAAATATTCCACCTTTTATGGGAAACATTATGTATAAACATTTTTCATCAGTAAACGATAAATCCTTAGGATCAGATGATTTGCGTTTACGAGCAAATGTTAAAGTTGTTAAGCCATCTGTAATTTTTCCTGATATATTATATATATTTTGAGATTCATCTAATAAAGGATGTGTATACCCAGTAATCCATGTATCCATAAGAAAAGGACGACCAGATTTGTCAACCCATCCTATAATAGCATCTGTTTGAGACTAAAAATGTATTAATAATAACTAATAATATATATAATATAAAAATATTAATATTAGTAAAATAAATTTATTATTTATTTAGTCAATTTGGCCATTATAACATATTTATAATAAAAAACATTAAAATTGTCATGTACACCTACTATGTGTAGGTACATCTCTGAAAATACAAACAGATTAATTAGTTTATTGTCATGGTCAGTGATTGAGTTGCTAAAAATAAGTAATCTGCAATTTAAAATTTAGGTGATTTTGTCTGAATGACCTCATCATTAATATAAAATAATTTAAGACAAAAAGTATATTGATATTATTATAATAAACTGCTCGTCATAAAAATCGACGCACCTAGTTTTTTGGAAAATATTTGACGGCTCGTTATTGGAAAATTACTGAATCGATTTTGAAAATCTTTGGAAATTCTGAATAGCTGATTCTTTGACTCTTATGTCTAATTTTATAAATACGATATTTTGTACATAGCATTATACTACAGGGTGTTAAACGAAAAGATGTATTTTTTCCGAAATTTCAAGTTATTCCCATTCATGAGGCAGTTGAGTTTGATAGTCGTAATACCCCTCCCTAATATAAGCAAGGTAATCCCTCGAAAAAGTTTCGAGATTTTGTGAATATCGCGGCTTACTACGATTATATGCCAATTTTTCAAAAATTGTCGGTATTTCCCAGTTTAGTCCAAAAAATGAGCAATAGTAGATTCTTTGACTTACGTCTAATTTTGAGAATACGATATTGTGCACATAGCATTATACTACAGGGTGTTAAAAAATCCCCATTCACAGGGCAGTTGAGCTTGATAGTAGTCTTCCTAAAAACAGTTAGGTTATCCCTCGGGACGTTTTCGAAATTTTGTGGATATGGCAATTTTTCGAAAATTCTCGTTATTCTTCATTTTAGTACAAAAAATGAGCAATAGTTGATTCTTTGACTCTTATGTCTAATTTTGGAAATACGATATTGTGCACATAGCATGATACTACAGGGTGTTAAAAAAGGAGATGTTTTTTACAAAATTCCAAATCACCATTCACAGGGCAGTTGAGCTTGATAGTCCTAATCCCTCGGGTCGTTTCGAGATTTTGTGGATATCTTGGCTAACTACGATTATATAGCAATTTTTTAAAAACTGTCGTTATTCTCTACTTAATTCCCAAAAACTACGAAAGGTATGGATTAGTTATCAACACATCGTTTCCCCAATTTGCATGTTCTTGTGACCATCTTCTTCTAGAAGAAAAAGAGGGCAGGCAGCACTTCGTCTTGCGTGGTATGCAACCTTAGATACGTCATTTTATTTTTTTAATGTGTTTGCTGTTTTTCATATTCGATGACAAAAATGACAAGAATAATTGAAGGGAGGAAACTCAAAACCAGATATGCGCCATATTTTTTAAACTTTCATAGTCAAGCGTTAGTAGAAAATTGCATGAATATAGCCTGCATAAGTTTTGTAACCTCAACTTGAGGGCTATGGCGAACGGCAGCTTAGCAGCGGAGAGATAGGTCGATGGGCAAATGTTGTTTCTCAATACTTACTAAAATAAATCCAAAATTGGGCGCCAGTGTCTTATTGTGGCCAGTTGGTAAAGTCTAAGTAAGTCAGACACAATCTTACTAAAGATTAAGGGTGGTTATTAAAAGTCAAGTTTAAAAAAAAAAATCAGTTATATTTGTTTCACCGATGTTGAAGTGATCACTTTTCATGTAATATTAAATATTTGTTCGATTTATAATTTTGGTGCACCCTTATATGGCCATATATGGTTTACAAAAACCAAAGTCTAATAGACTAAATTAACTGGTAAAATATTATCGATGATACAAAAAAAATATATTTAAAATAACTACAATTTAAAAGTTGAAGACTATATCGAACTCTCGACTCAAAAATAAACAAACGTATAAGAAGTGTAGTGCACGTTAACATTAATATTCAAAATTTGGTACGACCTGATCGTAGTTGGGGCCCTGGTAGATGTGTCTTCGAATGGTTTGGCTTCCGATGTTGAAGTCTCCTACTATGTCAGATTATACAGGATGGCTTTTCAATAACGTAAGAACTTGCCATTATCCAAAACAAGTTCAGGGTAAAAAACCATTCCTTCACAACAAATCTAACATACAAAGTCTTACAAAAAACTCCAACATAAAAAACTATACTCCATCTTAAAAACCCTAAAAAGAAATACGAACCCGCTTTAGCACCCTACAAAATCCGTTTACATTAGCTTACCCTTATTTTAAGGAGTTTTCAAACTAAAGACCATTCAAGGACTAGGTCAACAAAAAGTATGGTGGAAAATCACGAACACCTAAAATGGAGACCGTGTGGTTAGGAATATTCGACCACTATTTTAAAAGTTATCAACTCACCTAGAGCTTTCGTATAAGACAATTAATGCTTTAACCGGCCCTGAGCCATTAAACCAGGAGAATTACTACACATCTTTGGAATTCTATCCAAATTTTAAGCCAACGCTTACTCTCAACTAAACGGCTTCAGTGTTAAAACGGAAAAGGAAAACGTGAACCTTGTTAAGTGCGTAGAAGATTATTTAAACAAAAAAAACACAATGTTGCCAAGATGTTGTGAATGTTGTCGAGAAGACTAAGAACAAATGAGGAGTGTTCTGGGTTGCATACTATCAAAACAAAGTAATAAACAAAAGAATTAAAATAATTAATTTTTTTGGGCAACAAATATCCTTATTAAAAATATACTTAACAATTAGTCAAACTAAAAATAAACCACTTTACAGTTCACATCTATACCGTTATAGATGTACAAAAACTAATAAAATAAAATCAATGGGTAACTGTCAAAATGACGGTTACAGTTTACGAGAATAATTTTGTTTGGTTTGCGTTTTTATTTTCAGTTTCACCGAAAAAAATTGATTTTGTGTGAAACATTTTACTTTAAATGAATCACGCAACGCACATAAACTGGAAGCACGTGACCTACCTTAAAACGCTGTGTTGATACCTTCCGTAGTTTGCTCATTTTTGGGACTTAATTGAAGAATAACGTGAATTTTCGAAATAGCCATATAATCGTAGTTATCCACAAAATCTCGAAAAGGGATTACCTGTTATTAGGAAGGGCCCTTCCTAACCCGGGTATTATGAATATCAAGATCAACTGCCCTGTTATTGGCGATTTGGAATTTTGAAAAAAACATCTCTTTTTTTAACACCTTGTAGTATAATGCTATGTATTCCCAAAATTAGACGTAAGTCAAAGAATCCACTATTACTCATTTTTTTTGGATAACTGGCTAATAACGACAATTTTCGAAAAATTGGCATATAATCGTAGTTAGTCAAGATATCCACAAAATCTCGAAAATGTCCCGAGGGATTACCTAACTGTTATTAGGGAGGAGTATTAGGACTATCAAGATCAACTGCCCTGTGAATGGGGATTTGGAATTTTGGAAAAAAACATCCCCTTTTTTAACACCCTGTAGTATAATGCTATGTGCACAATATATTATTCTCAAAATTAGACGGAAGTCAAAGAATCCACTATTGCTCATTTTTGGACTAAACTGGGAAATAAGGACAATTTTCGAAAAATTGGCATATTATCGTAGTAAGCCTCCATATTCACAAAATCTCGAAAACGTTCCGAGGGATTACCTTACTTATATTAGGGATGGGTATTACGACTATCAAACTTAACTGCCTCATGAATGGGAATAACTTGAAATTTCGGAAAAATTAATCTCTTCGTTTAATAACCAGTAGTATAATGCTATGTGCAAAATATCGTATTCCCAAAATTAGACATAAGAGTCAAAGAATCAGCTATTCAGAATTTCCAAAGATTTTTAAAATCAATTCAGTAATTTTCCAATAACGAGCTTTCAAATATTTTCCAAAAAACTAGTTGCGTCGATTTTTATGACGAGCAGTATATATTAATGTAATATATTTATAAAGACACATTTTAACTTACTGCGCAGTGCAAATAGAAATGTGATCATTTTAATGCATATTTCATAATAATTTATAACTATCAAAAATATTTTATGCATTAATATTAATTGTTTTTAGTTTGGCTGAAAACAAAAATTTTGCACTGAACAAGTTTTCTGTGACCTTTTCAGTTTTATATATGAGGAGGTCCATTAGAAAGTCGGCTTCTCCCCTTTTTAATAAAAATGAGTTAGTGGTGTCTGTACATTTAACATGTAGCACCCTACCCCTTAAAAGGTCATAATATTCTAAAACGCACCAGTACTAGCTTATACGAAAGTCTATCTACTCTCTTAAATGATCAGTGTTGTAATTATATGTAGATCCTTGTTATGCAAGGTGTGCTCCCAATTAATGTTTGTTTTAAGTAAATTTTACGTTTAAACAATTATTAAAAATGTGATAGTTTTAAGTGTGTGATGTTTGTTGATAGACCAAATATGAAAAACAAAACAAAAAAACTATAAAAAAAACCTTTATAAAAAACTTTGTTAAATTAAGTAAAAATTTTGTGTCGGCGCTGGGCTTCGAACCCGTGTCCTGCGGAGCCGGAGGTTTGCTGGTTTGTTGTGTTTCGTTCTGAGCCACGCAGAGTTTGAATAAAGTTTACTCTTCTATTTTGAATCATGGATGATAAGTGTAAAAGGTGTCAAAAAGATCCTCAATCAGGCATCAAATGTATTACTTGTAATGCCGTTATGCACCCTGGCTGTGCTAAACAGATGAAAAATATTGTTTTCATTAATGAAAATCAAATTAATTGTTGTTTATCTAATCCAACTACGCCAAATCCAAGCGAAATAATTCTAGCGAATTAAATGAACCTTCTGAAATGGAAATATTTTACTTAAAAGAGCTTTTAAGACAAAAATATATTATTATTTCTAATCAGCAAATTACAATTAACTTTAGTGGAAACTATTAATGGAAAAGAATGCAATATAAATAATTCTTAGAATCAAATACAAGTTTTCATTCCTTCTGGTGACAAAAACTGA